AGGATAATGCCTTCTAAGAAAGGGACTCCAATAGAAGGGTCCAACATGACATAAGGGAGATTTCAAGAGAAAGGAACTAATTTGTTTGCATGTAAGGCTGTTCGTGTGCCAGGACGATAAGCCACTCAAGGGAGCTGGAACCATTGGGGACAGTTGTTGGAGATAGTGCTAGAGAGCTAGCTGAAAGCTGGACTTCTGAGGTTCTAGACAGCACTGGGTTTTCCAGGGTCCTAGACAGCATTGGAAACAAGGGCCTGATCAGAGGATCAGTGTGGTTTGAAGTTTGCAGATAAGACTCCTAAATCAGCAGTGATTTGGAATTTGCTCATAGTACTTTCTCATGGTGCCACTATCATTGTTGCCATTGTGAAGTAACAAAGCTTACCTTAAAGAGTTTAAATAACCTGCTTAACATTAGCCCGTGTGGAGTAGGAGCTGGGATTTGAACCTCAACAGAACAAGCCATAATTTTTTAATGTCACTGTTAGATACTGCCTCTCCATGGCTGAAGCCCCCCATTATGCTGCAATAATTTTGTTCTTCTAACCTAATGCAAGATGTGACAGCATCCTCCAACCTAAAAGTCCTTTCTGACCTCCCAGGGATATGTGTTCCTCTGGAGGCATCCTTCCCACTGGATGGAGCACCCCTTTGCCAGTTTTCTCAGGATGTAACACCTTTGGATTAAGGATCTTACTTCAGTTATTTGGAGATCCTCCTGGGGTTCAGACACTCACTCTGATTAAAGCCTATACATTTGTGTCCTTAAAATAATGTCCAAAATCTGAAGTTTGGGAAATTGCCTGACTGATAATGCAAATCTATAAATCCTACTACCTACTGCATCCAAGCTGAGTATAAATTCTCTTGAAAATTCAGCTTTGCTGGAAATGTTTTGACTATTCTGCTTCTGGCCCAATGTGAAGTGATAAATAAAAATGAAAAGTGGTGGGAGAAAATCTGGATTAAATTTATTTAAGGCTTAACAGAGCCCAGCTGGAGAGATGGATAGGTAAAGACTTCTGATTTGTTCCTATCATATCTGACTGGGCTTTTTAATTCCTAAACCTGAAATCTCAGGGTCTATAGAGCCATCTCTTGTCTTTCTGATGATGACTCACTTTCAGCTCTAAAGTTATTGAGGACAAAAGAGTCACTATCGATTCAGAAATAACAGTCGATGAAGAAACTTGGGTTTTTCTATCAAAAAGAAGTTGTATATTCCCAACCAAAACCCAGGACCAAACTCTAACAAAACCTACCCTTGAAGTACTTGGAGGCAAAAAAAATGCAGAATATTTGGTGTTCCAAGAAACCTGGATGCATGAATACCATAAATGTTATGAATTTGAAGTTAAAGTGGTAGCCTGAATTCTTGAAAATGGCTTGCTACCTTTTAAAGACTTATACATCTCCTAAAGAGACTTTTCTTTCTTGTCATAGCAGCTGGTGTGATGGACTAGTGACAATCACAGTGTACTCCACAATCACAGGATGCTACAATCCCAAAACCATCTGTGTTCCTCTGGCATTCCCTGAGGGATCCTTCTTATGACTACAAGCATTGCCATAGGCTGACTCCAAGAGCCTTATGGTGATCTGTGTGGCTTCCACCCGGACCAATGTGACCAGCTACTCTATAGAACAGTCATAAGGAGGCTTATTTAAGGATGGGTAATTGAGATGCAGATGTGAACCCTTATTCTGCTGCAGCAAACACCTGGCAACCATGTGAACACTGCTCTAAACCAGCATCCTCCCTGAACTTCCCTTCCCTGTTATCTTTTTCAACTATTCGGAGGTTCCTAGACTACTCCACAATGGCTAATATATCTCCAGCTTGAGCACTGACGAACTTTGACTTCACCAGTGTCACTTTCAGTGCTAACCATTGTGGTTATAAATGTAATGATTTCTGTCCTTCTCTTAACACAACACACAAACATACCTGTGTGTACACCACCTCCTAGTTTTCTAATCAACAAGGTAGAACCAAATGTGGGACTCTTTTCAGTGTTGGAGCTGCTGAACCATGACAAAAGGTAGAATGATTTTATTGCCTACTTATTTAAAAACTTGAATTCAATTATTTCAGTAGAATTTTTAAATTTTTCCTGAGAGGGTTAAGAGGAAGCCTTGATTCTCTTCAAGCATTAGGAAGGTGTCTCTCTCACCCACACTCTGTGGCTTTGCCTTATGGAGATGAGCTCACCAGCCACTCACTGCTCCCTGGAATTTGACCCTTTCAGGCGAATATGCTGGGTACCTATGATGCACAAGATCCCAGCTAGGCTTTTGAAGATTTCAATTAAAGTCTCTGCCCCCGCCCCCATAAACTAAGTTTAAACGTCTTTCCTAGCAATGTGAGACACAAGTTACATATATTCCTATTTAACTCTGAAATAGATGACTCCATAGATCCAGTCGCAGCAGCACCCTATTGCCACAGATCTTTTGATTCTTTATGTCAAAATTAAACTCTTTTCCATAGTTTGTAAACTCACGCAGATTGCAGCCTAGAGGAGAGTGATTACAGTGAATCCATGTTAATGAGTTATACCCAGTGAGTGTGGAAGCAGAGCTGGAATGGGTTTGGAGTGCCATCCTTGCAGCCTATGGCAGGCCAGACTCCACAGTGGGCTGTACTGCCCATTGTTGCCTTTGGCTCCCCCTTGGCATTGGTATTTACATGCCTCTCAACTAGGTAAGCCTGAACTTGTTTGCTGAATTCTCTTGGCAGGTATGTAAGCAAATGTCCCCAGGCCTTAGCTTCTTATGGGAGCTAATTAGATCACAGTCCCACTCAAATCTTCCTGGCTGGCTGCTTCACCTGCGTAACTTTGGCTCTGCATCCTTCCTCATTCTCAAGTTCTTTCTGCTTCTTGAGGGGAATCCACAGGTTAAATCAAGCATGCTCAGAAACGGTTATTAAGTTTGGGATGTTCATGGCTTGCCTGTTACTTCAAGCTGCTCCTCAGTCGGTGCCTTGTGTCCCAGTAGCTCTGCTCAGGCCCATGTCTGTCCCCCATTTACATCTGGCACAAGCATCTGCACTGCTGATTGGGACCTCCAACCCCTGAAATATTGGGGCCTTTCAGAACTCTTTGACCTGGGGGGCACTTTTAGTTGACTGTGACTTAGGGACAACTCAGACCAGAATTTTGGGACATCTTTCTCTGATAGCAGGTCCTTCACTCAGGTCTTGCTTTCCAGTGTCACAAAGCTGGCTGTTGGCCTCTGTGCCACCTGCAGAGTACCCCAGAGCATTTTCCTTTGTACAGTGGCCACACCATACTCCTTGCTGTACTGAGGAAAACAAGTCACTCTACCCAGAGCTGATTTTTACACTTTGAGTCCTAAAGTCACTCAGCATGTGCCTGCAAATCTGAACTTCCCTTACACCAGCAGCCCCTGGGCATACCCCTGGGCCTCTCATGAATATCTAACCCTCACCTTATTTAACTCCTCCTTCAGCTGAAAAACAAATGAAGCAGATCAACCACATAATCAAATACGCAGAAGCTGTGGGTAGGTTCTGCTCTCTTTTGTCTCATCTGTGCTCTGGCTCAAGAAAAGCACTGAACTTTGGACATGCAAGTCCAGTTCTTTGCCATTAGGAAGAAAGCACTTACGGTTCTTGGTAGCAAGACTTTCCCACATTGCTTCCTTCGAAGATCAAATGACATAGCTCGGGCATGTTACATCTGAGTCATGAATAGGCATTTTAGTGTAATACATAAGGCTAACTTTGTATACTACTGGTGCTTGGTAGATACAACTGCCAAATGACATTGGCCATGACATTTATTATTGACATCACCCATTAAAAAGTATTAAGTATCTACTATATGAAGTCTAAAATGAAGCTCTGTTCTAGACACTGGAATGCAGAAGAGAGTGATATCCTACTGGGGACAGATGAATTATAAATTAACTTATTAAAATAATAAGAATATATTAGATTGGGATAAGTCTTCTGTGAAGACTGGAAGATGACTAGGTGGCTCCTTACGGAAGGACACCACGTAAGGGCTCTGTGAGGATCTGACAGAGGCCAGATAAGATTTTTACACAGACGGGGGTTCCAGGTAGGACAGCAAGGGCAAGGGGGCTGGGTATGCCTGGCAGCTCTGGCAGTGGAGTCAGTCTAGGGAAAGGTAAGGGCAGGTGGCTCTGAAAGGGGGTCCCAGGTGATGTGGGGGTCTGCCACGCGTAAGAGGCTCTTGGTTTTTGTTCTTAGGCACAGTGTGAAGTGATTAGAGTTTGAAATAGGGGTTCAGCATGATCTGGTTTATGTTCTACAAAAATAACTCAGAATTCTGAGAGGAGTGAGGTTTGGTGACTCAAGAGAGGCATCAGTATGGCCAGGCAGGAGTCTGATTTGGCAGATCAAAAGAAAGGATGGTTCTGGGCCATGGTGATGTATCCAACCTGGAGAGCATAGACTCCTGATGTTTTTTCGTTTTTGGTTGTGGTCTTTGAAGCTGAAAGAACTAGCTGGCTGACTGCATGTAGAGAATAGGGAAATGAGAGGATTCCAGGATTCCCAGCTAACAGGCATGGAAACCAGAAGGCCCCCAGCAACCTGGACTACAGGTGGTCTGACCAAGATGTTTTTCCATGTACGAGGTAGTGGCTTATTCTGCCGGATGGAAAAGGACATAGTCTCTGTGTCTGTCTGTCTGTCTGTCTGTCTGTCTCTCTCTCACACACACAAACATATACACACACAGGTACTGGAGAAACACGGAGGAAAAACTATTTGAGGAATCAGTTGGTTTCAGATATTTTCAAATGCTGCTTTTAAAAGCAAACCATTGCCAATCCCACAGGCTAGAAAATCAAATAACTTTAAACTGGCAAGGCAGGTATGGTACATTACAGTGACCGAGAGTTCTGTTTACACACTGATATACCCACAGCAGAGTTCTGGAGCAGGGCTGGGCCCGGGGTTTCTGATAACAGTCTTCACAACGGAATTTCATTTGTTTTACTTAAAGGCAAACCCGAGTGCCTATTCTCATGAAAACCAGCTGCCCACTCTATTCTCCAAGGACCTGAAGACTCAGACTCCAAAGGAATGCGCTGCCTTGCCAACATTCCCCGTGTGCCCTGTTCGCTGATTTCACAAACACAACTTGTTGAAAATAGGAAAAGCCATGAAAACAGATGAACATGTGAGAAAAGGATCCTCTGGAAGCTCAAGAAATTTACAGATCCCTGAATTTCATTACTGTAGTTATTTTTAAATTAAGACAATAACTGCTGCTTACAGGTTCTTGTTGACAAGTGGTACACTGATACGGCAAGCCCATGATGTGACCCTCTTTCCCAGAACTGGGAGTATCCAGAACTACCATTCTTGGGAGCTTCTTTTATTCTCAAGATATGAAACTTGTGCCTATTCTGTTTTAGTCACACACACTTACTCATTACCTGGAAGGGCATGAAGAGTTTATTCATGGCCTCTGTACATTTTGTGCTACTTTGTTAAAGCAGGAAAAATGCAGACGGATGAGTCATCGTTTTCAGTTAGTTTTTCAATTTCACCCGGAGCAAAGTTTTTCTATATCCATACCAATTTTATTACTTTTCACAGTACTCTGACCATGCACTTTGTAGGATAATTCATTCTTTTGCTTGAGGGATATTAATAATATACATTGTAAATGTGTGGGGGAGGGGATAGCACTACCTAAGTACTTTTAAGTAAATGTAAAAAATATTGAAATCCAGCAAGATTTAGTAACTCACAGGAAAGGTCCAAAGAAATGTAGCTCACAAGAAAGAAGAAAGAATTATTCAAGAACCTTGAAACCATGACACAGCTGTGCTGCGTCTAGGGAAACTATTCTAAACAGTTTTCAAACCTGAAATTTATTTAATTCAACAGATCTCACACACCTGTAAGCCCAGTCCCATTATAGGGAAGTATATTCATACATTTAGTCAATAAAATATCTAAGTGCTGCTGACAGGTACGACATTGTAAATACAAGAGCACAGTCTACAAGGAACCTTGTCTAGCTGGGTAAAAACCACACATGAACTAGTTCACTGCAGTGCAAGGGCGAGTGTGGGGTGAACTCAGAGGAGAGGTGCAGACAGTGTGTGCTTTGAAGTCTGTGCCTGCGTCAGCTCCTTGACCCCAGCTCACCAGTTCTTGAAGGGCAAACAATATATGAGTGAAAGAAGCAAAGGAACAAGACACTCAGGGAAACGGGAGCAGCACATACAAAAGGAGAAAGCAAAGGTACACATGTGACAAAGGGGCGCCCACTTGGGGAGAAGACGCAGAGGGCATGTGGGGAAGAAAATGTGGGCCGACACAAACTGCCGCCGCTGGGATAGAAACGACCTTTTTAAGGAGAAAAAAAGAACTATGGACCAATACAAAAGAAAAACTATCTTTTTAATGTCGTGGCTAGTACAGTCTGTGTGCAATTGTAAGGGAAATTAGTCACAAATAATCTTCCTTATCTTCATTTGCATGAGTCAGGCTGGAGCTAGAAAAGTTGATGTTGATTGTCTTGTTGGAGAAGTGATAGCTCTCTTCCCAGGGAACAGGAAGAGAAATTGGGATGGACTAATGCTGATTAAAGTTATTTGTGCAAAGGAGAGGCAGAGTTATCAAATAGTAATGAATTTATGTACCAGTATTGTGCATTAATTTCCTCTATTGGAGAGGCACAACTTCAGTCTCTTCATCTGGGGAATTAAAAAGTAATCTCAACAATCAAGAGATTCCGTCAGTGCAGGGGTTCAATGGACTTAAAACCCAAATGACAACCCTAGAATTTATATAATTATAAATGGCTTGGGATATGCATATCCTACCTATAATCGTAATGCCTCTCATTTCTAAAAACGAGATTCCAAAAAAACGAAAGGTAAGGTTCTCTCTCTCTCTCTCTCTCTCCTTCCCTCCCTCCCTCCCTCCCTCTCCTTCTCCCTCTGTCTCTGTCTCTCTCCCTCTCTCTCTCTTTCCCTTTCCATGAATGTACTACAACCTACTTTCAAGCTATGACAGGTTCCACTGCTCATCATCCCCTGCATGATCACACAAGCTACTTCATTCTATAAAATCTTACTTTCTTACACTCTAACACCTGGCTAATAATACCATTTGATACAGGTGTTATGAAGATGAAGGTAGATGTATGTGCCAAGTGCCTGGCACAGACGCTGACATGCACTGAAATACAGTTTTCTTTTTGTTAAATCTGTGTAGTTATTTATAGTTCATAAACCACTTTTATAAATTTCACAAAAGCTGTGTGAGAAAGATGTAATTATTACTAGTTTTAAAGATGAGAAAGCTGAGAAGTTTCAAGGAGGTGCATAGCAGGAGACAGAACTGGAGCAGTGCAGAGGATCCATTTTAATGGATTTACCCTTTACTCCAGCTATTCTTTAGTGGAACACTCAACGTGAAATAAAACAAATTTTCTTATATTTACACACCATGAGAACTCAACAAATGTGGTTCTCTTCTGGATCTCATAAAGTCCCTGGTGAGGACTCTAGGTAAACTAGGAAGCTGGCCAACAGTTCCTCGATTTTCTACTTTTGCATGTCCAATATGGCAGTCATTACTACATGCAACTATCAATTCCTAATCCACATTGAAATAAATACATTGCAAGTGTAAAGTACGCACTGAGTTTTAAAGGCTTAATGTGATAAGGTAAACTACCCCAATCATGCTTTAACTGACTAATGATGAAATTAAAATATTTGGGGTAAGTTAAATTAAATATTTCACATTTTTACTTCCTTATAATGTGGCTACTAGAAAATTTTCAGTGCATATGTGGCTCATGTTTATGACTTGCATTATATGATGGAGTTACTCTGCTTAATCTTTACTCTTGCAAGGGTACCTCGGGCCTCCCAGCCCTCTCTGCACCAGGATGCTCCTGCCAGAGAGCAATATTCTGCTACCTATCTCATGCCAGCATGTTAATCTCTGTCTCTGTCTCTCTCTGTCTGCCTCTTTCTCTGTCCCCCCCACCGAGGTCAGTAGGATTCCATTTAGTGGACCAGGAGTAGGTAGCAATAGGGAAAGGACTGTGGCAAGCTGAAGAATACATGCTTCATCCAAAGGTAAGAGACACTATTCACCTCTAACAGTTGTAGACATATCAAATTTAGGTCCTATATGCTCAGACCTTTTGAATTTTCAAGGGCATTCAGAAATCTATTTTCTTATGTATGTCTCCTGATTTTCAGATCTGCAACAATATAAACATTGTAACAAGGACTGTGAAACATACATAACAATATGATGGGGGTTGTATTTTTTTTTTTTTTTTTTGCCTAGTCATCCTGAGCTTTTGACCAAGGCACACCTGGTGAGATGTGGGTAAACTGAACAGGTAGTACTTACGACACTGGCTTTGGTTCTTGGCATTTCTGGAGCTGGAAAAGTCCCCTCCTAGACAAGATACAAGTCCTAGCGAGAACAAATGGTTCATTTAGTCATGCCACCTCTCTACAGGCTAAAAATGTCAGCCTCTGATTCTCTGTAATGGATCTTTAAAAGTAAATAGTATATCCTGCCTGCTTGAAGATTTGCCTCTGTCGAGGGTCCTCAGAAAGCTGAAACTCTCTTCTAGGAAGGTGGCTAGAGGTAGGTGTCATAGTGAAAGCTTCTGTGCTGGTCTCTGGCGGATGAGGGTAATGGCACAAATGGTTGTTGTCCTTCAGGAATCTCTCTCCCATCTTAGCATTTAGTCTACAAGGATGCACGTCACTTACCCACAGTGAACTGAAATCCTTAAATAAGCCAGGTGGACAAAAATAATCACAGTGCAGAATACGCCTGTTATTTATAGGATGGACTGTATTCTGGACACCTGAGTCAGGCCCCTGGGGAAGAGAGTTTCCTTACGTTGCAGTTGATGCAAGCAGAATTGGATCCAGTCAGATTCGAAATCCATGTTCCCTCTTCCCACTTTGAAAATGTACAAGGCCTAACACAAGTGCAAAACGAGAAAAAGGCAGATATAACATGCAGCATTCACTCAGTATCCACTTGTTCTTTCTGGCCTCTCCTTACGCAAATATGCCATTAGAGTTCTTAGGATTGAAACCACTTACTTACATTGTTGATAATGACCCTAAAATAAATAGACTCTGAGTGATTTCTACCCTTCTTATTCCATACTGGGACTTTCCTAGGCGGTGTCAGACTGTGAGATTTCCCTAATATTCCTTTTCATAAGAACATGGCAGAGTTGGCCAGAGTTAACCTTTTAATCATATATAATACCATAGCTTCCAGGGCTTCTAAGTCATCAAAGCAACTTCATTTCTACAGTGTTGGCCCCTGTTAACAGTCTAATGAGGTTGCAAAAGTGGGGATTATTGTCTATGTTTCAACGAAAAGGAAGTGGAGTTTTGGAAGGCTGATTCTGTGACTGTCCTGGGTGCCCAGAGCAGTGCCTCTCCTGATCCTCAAGCAGGCTTCTTTCTACTGTACTTAAAGCAGTGAGGATCTAAGAAGTCTTTAGCTCATGTTCCCAAGCAGAGTTGACCCCCATGATATAACATATTAGTACATTGCCCGAGATATGCTATAGGGAAAAAGACCTATTCATACTTACACTGATCCTGACCTAAGTTATAACAATTATTTATAACATCATTTTTACATCAAGAAAAACCAAGAACATAGGAATACTATATTGAATTGTTTGCAATTGCTGGTGTCTTTGAGGGACATGAGAATGTTTTTTCTCTCTCTTTAGGAATCCAAACAAGAAACTACGTCATTCCAAACAGGGACAGCTGAACAGGTGGTCTTGACAAGTTCTTACACTGTGACCTCTTTTCTAGTTTAAGTTTAAAAAGAAATGAAGATAAGAGAGAATGTATACAATGGCAATAGAGCTCAAGATAGGGATGGAAAAGGCATCAGCTGTCAGAGAGGTGAGGTGGGCAGATGAAGTATGGAGTCAGCAGAAGAGACAGGGCAATGGCAGAGAAAAGATTAGACAGTGACAGGGGCAGATGGGGCCTGAGGGTCACCAAATCTCAACCCAGACTTAAGGCCTTTCCTGAAAAATCGAAAGTTTCTTTTCAATATCTTCACATATCTATCACAAGCATGGTCATGCAAGGAATATAAACACATTTTTCTAATTCAATCTACATTTTGTTTGCTTGACATTCATAATTAGTGATATTCTTTTGTATAATGTTCTTCTTAATTTTGTGATGTCAGTTATAGCATTCTTAAATGCATTTTCATAACCCAGTCTGAGAAACTCTGCCCCATTTATTATAGGAGCTCAATAAGGTAATGTGTTCCAACTGTTCAACTAAAAATAAGTTTTAAGAACATGACCTCTCTGGGCCAGGGATTTAGCTCAGTGATTCAAGCATTTGCTTGGTAAGTGCAAAGTGATGAATTCTATTCTTGGTACAAAAAAAAAAAAAAACACCCAAAGAAAGATGGCAGATAGACAACAAGCTACAGAAGCTCCCTAAGATAGTCAACTTAGAATTCAACATAATACAAAGTGGGGAGCCCCAAACAGAGGGAGATGAATTCTCTTGTCCCAAGAAGAAGTTAAAGGGACTTGCTGACCATCCAAGGTCCTGCCACGACTGGCCGACGCCGCGACTGGCTGGGAGTCCCACTGCGACTTGCTGAGGAGGGGGGGTCCCGCTGTGACCTGCCTAGCCGCGAGGTCCCGCTGCTTCGACTCACTAGAGGCACAGTTACATTGAGTTTGGGGTTCAGTGAGCCAAATGGAGAGCTGACTTGGCAGGGAGCCTACACTGACCTGTGGTGAGTGATGGGAGTGGAGCCATTCCATAAATAGGGAGGCCCTGGCAGACGACACTCTGGGATCAAGCAGAACTAGCAAGTACAAGGGGCAGCAGTGACTTCAGTTGTTCCCTTCCCAAAGGGGATTGGTGGCAGTGAGCTAGACCTGGGTCACGTGACCTGGCTGAGACCCAATAGGTTATCTGAGGTCAAGTCCCTACAGCAGTGGCACACACTAACCACACTGGGCCAGTGGCTGGTCCGGAGGGAGGCAGTACAAAGTAATACAGTAGTGTAGACCACAGCAGCTTGATTAATCTAGAGGGGAGGGGTAAGCATACGCAGTCCCTGTCTGCAACTCATTAACACACTGCAGCATGAAGGGTCATCTCGCCAGCACACTTCAGAAGAATTGTAACCAACAAAGAAAGAGACTGGGGCCTCCTGGAAGAAGCAAAAAAAGATGGGAAGAGGAAGCAACAACAAAAAGTCCTCAGGCCCCAACCCTGAGAACATTGACCCAGGACAGGTAAATACAAAGGAGAATGAGAACAGCAAACATGAATATCAGACACAGCCGCCAGTGGACATAAAGAGATATATTTGGGACCTCATAGATGAGTTCAAAAGTGAAATATTTAGCCAAACAAAGCAAGATATAAGAAGATTAACAAAAAAGATACTAAGCACTCCTCAAGCAGACACAGATGGAAGAAGGGAGGAACTCAAACATAGGAGAGAACTATTTGGTGAAGAATATAAAACATATATAGAATACATGAAGCAGATTCAAAGAGATCACTAGGAAATTAAAAACTCTATGGAAAGATGGCAAATCAGCTTGAAAGAAACTAAGGATAGATTATCCAAACTGAAGGACAATTTTGCAGTGTGGAAGTATGAAAGGGAAAATATTTTAAAACTAACAAGGAAATAAGCATTAACAATACAAAGGCTAGAAGATGACTAAAGGATCTATAACTTGAGAATAAAGAATGTAAATGAAGAAGCTGGGATACAAACAAAGGACCTACAAAGGTTATTCACAGAAATAATTAAGGAAGACTTCCCAAACATAGGAAGAGCAAATGATATTCTGCTATATGAGGCATACAGAACCCCAGCCACCTACAACCAAAACAGAGCTATACCCAGGCATATAATAATCAAGATCCCAGAAATTCAATATAAGAACAGAATATTAAAAGCTGTTAGAGACAAGAAACAGATCACCTATAAAGGAAGATCCATCAGAATAACAGCAGACTTCTCGACACAAATCATCAAGTCAAGAAGAACCTGGAGCGAAATATTCCAAGCCCTGAAAGAAAATAACCTCCAGCCCAGATTGATATACCCTGCTAAACTGTCTCTAGAAATTAATTGGAGAAACAAGATGCTTCCAAGACAAAGAGGAACTTGGGAAATTTGCAACAATCAATCCAACTTTACAGAGATACTGCAGGGCATTCTAGAGAGAGAGAAAAGTACTAGGATTCCAGGAACAGTGGCAGAGAGTCCTCAATGAATGGAGCAGAAAACAGAATGAAGAAGATAAGCAGACAACTGAGGGCAAAAAAAGAGCATAACAGAAATGAGGCAGAGAAGATTTATTCAAAACTGATATGATTGAAAGAATCAAGAGAGTATAGGTAACTACACTAAAGATGACAAGACTCGACGATACACATTCTTGTTTGATAACTGCCAGTTTTTGAAGTTCTACACTATATACAAAGTTGTGTTTTTATTAATATTGTTATGTACTGACATATTCAATTATACTATGTCTGATGATATAGCCAATTCTTTTGGAGATAACAAGAGACAACACAAGAACTATGGTAGAAAGATTTGTACAACCGTCTTATAGGTTTATTTCATTTCATGTGTTTATAGGAATATATTTTGTTTTGTCTTGCTTTGTTTTGTTTCTCCCTCTAATATAGAAAGGATAGAAATACAGGTTAAGACTCATGCATGTGTAGAATCCATAAACAGTTTATGAGAACTGATCATATGATGAAATGAATAGATACTCTGAAGAAAAAGCGACACTAAAATACCCAGTGCTGATCCTGGAGTGTCATAATGTGAAACCCAGCAGTAGTATTATTTTTGTTCAGTGATATTAGCCTGTTTGGGTTTATTCAATCTCAATCTCTTCATAATTGAAGAGATGGATAACTGCATGTATGTTTAAGTGTATAGGATTGATAACCATATTTCTAAGTTTTTGTTGGATAGTTGAATAGAACTGGTTGCAATCTCACTGTTTGAATCCCCACTTTATAAGTTCCACTTTAGTATCTTGAATAACTATTTGTAAGAAGAAAATCTATAATCATCACCTAGTGATTTCTTACTGTTTATTTTTTTCTTTGAAATTATGTATTATTTCTACCCATTTGCTATTTTGTTTAATCTTTCTTTAAATTAAAATTTAAAAAAAAGACTACAGTACCCAGTGCTGATCATGGAGTGTCATGATGTGAAATCCAGCAATACTATTATTCTTTGTTCAGAATGATTTTAACCTTCTTTAGTTTGTTTAATCCAAACATAAATGAAGCTATGGATAACTGCATGTATGTTTGAGTGTATAGGATTGACAACCATATTACTAAGTTTTTGTTGGACAGTTGAACAGAATTCTTTTGCGGTCTCACTGGTTGAATTCCCACTTTACATGTTCCATTTTTGTATCTTGAATACCTATTTGTAAAACAATATGTAAATCAACTAGTGATTTCTTAGTTCATTTTTCTCTCTGAACGTATGTATTACTTCTACCTATTTTGTGTTTTGTTTAGTCTTTCTTTAAATAAATTTTTTTTAAAAAGAAAAAAACCCAAAAAACAAAAAACCAGAACATGACCTCTCAGAACAGTGCCACCCCTGGAGTGAGTCAAAAGTCTAGATTATCCTCTTAGAACCACTTGAAGAAAGAGCAAAAGACAACTAGCATTAAAAGTTCTACCAGGCACAGTCTCTCACTGTTCCCTAGTGTCTAGCATGACAGGTATTGGAAATTTCTGGAGAAAAATTGTCAAAAGAATTCTTAAATCCTCATAAAGACTAGTGTGACCCTTGTTTGAGCTTTTTTTTTTTTTTTTGTAGTTTTAACAGGTAAGATAAAATAATTGTTTTCAGATCACCACATGACACACAATTTATTGCTTTGCTACAGGCAACTTGTTGCTTTGCTAAAATACACATATATGTGTATATGTTCATACGCATGTCTATATGTGTGTACAATACAAATCCTCCATGATAAACTGTGTAACTGCCCCAGGCTTGTGACAGACTCCACAGGAAAATCACCCTGTCACTCCCTTAGTCTCCTTGCAGCCCCTGCTATGCAGGCACTGCTGCAGGTGAGGGAAAATGAACCCTAAAGGTCTGCATTTAAAATGCTAAATGTATTTTACTTTAGATAATAAGGAATAGTTAGAAGAAAAAGAAATAAAGCAAAGCAGAAAGAGAGATCAGGATCGTTAAGGAGATAGTGACCACAAAAGTCCTCTTAAGACTTGGCATTGAATAAAGATGTGAATGCGGTGAAGTATCAGTCATGTGAATATCTGAAGTGAGAATTTCAAGGCAGAAAGAATAGCAGGTGCAAAGATCCTGGGGCAGGAGCATGCCTGTGGCTCAAGAACGATAGCCAAAGTATTCAACTGAATGAACATGTCAGGTAGAGATAACTAAGTAGAAGCAGGGGAAAAAGCAAAAGAGCAACATATGTAACTCAGATTTGTATGGCACTTTTCTAAGTGCAGGAAACCTGCGGTCACTGTGCATCCACTGTGCACTAAACAGATCATCTCCTTGAAATTTCTCATTGATTTATGAGGCTAGCAATACAAGTGATACCTCAAATCATCCCAGAAGTGAGTTTGTTCATCTCCAAGTGGTCTTTTTAGCTATGACCTTGCTCAGACCTGGTTCTGGGACCTATCTGCACTCTCCTGACCACTTGCTAAGGGTGCCACGTGGCTACTCTGCAGAGATTCATGTGACAAGACTGGCTGTGGGGAAGGTTCTGCTCATCAACACAGGAAGAGCTATGTCAGTGAGAAGGCAACGTTTTGCCAAGGGCACACGTGTGCAGCAAGGCAACCTTTCTTTCCTGTTTCTACTAAGCCCATGGCACCAAGTGTAAGAGACTACAGGGCTTAGTGAAGGCAGGAGAGAGCTGACTGTTGGAGATAGAGGAACAGAGGCAGGATACCTGCCATGCTCTGAGAAGGAGCCACCAAACCCAGAGTCCAATCCTCTACCAAACCACACGAGCAGACATCAGACTGAAGACCAAAGAAGCGCCTTCTCCCTCTCCGTCAGGAGAATGGAGGCAGAGTCTGTGTGAGCCAAGTCAAGGCTGAGAGGACAGTGAGTGCAATAGTTTGTCCCCAGAGGTGTGTGTGCTGCGATCTTAGTCCAAGGTGATGGCGTTGAGAGGGGAGGAAGACTGGAGATGTGAAGCCCCTACCGAGGAAGGGACCCATCCTCCAGTTCTCCGACTGGGCTGGTTACCTCTGAGTTGTCACAAGGAGGCCCTGGCACCTCTCCTGAGATTCCTCACTCTGTGACCTTCCTTCCACACGCTGCTCTCCACTCTCACAGGTGCTGTAACTGTGCGACGCTGTCTCCTTGCCGTGACAAAGCACAACCCTTCATCCCAGTTTAGACTTTCAGGCTCCAGAACACTGAGCTCAATCAACCCGATTATTTTATCAAGTACCCTTTGTGATCATAGCAACACAAACCTGCCTGAGCCAGAGTGCCTCCTGTTCTCTGTGGATCTGTGTCTTTAGCCCTGAGTTTGCTGGAGAATAGTGGCACCCAAAAGACCAGAGCAGCTGCGGAGGGGCAAGGACCTCCCAGTCATCTGCATGCCTCTGAGGAGCCCTGAAGGTAGAGGAAGAGGGTCGTTGGCCCATCTGCCATCTTGCCAGGCATCACTCGGCTGCTGTGCCACCATCAGAATTAGCTGAATCTCTTTTAGCTAAAGAAGAATGCAATTAATTGATAGTCATTGGCAAAAATACCTGAACTGGGAAGACAGAGAAAATTCTTGTGAATAAGAGTGAGACCTGGAAAATTCTACCACGTGTTGCTTGATGTCTGTGTCTATGGAACTTGTAATTCTTGGGGGAGCCCCTGAATGAAAGCCTGGGGGAGTGAGTCTCCTTTGGAGAGAGAGCTTGGCCTGCAGGTGCCTCACAGAGTCAAGCTCCATGCAGAGCAGCCCTGCTGGGTTTGGAGGCACCAAGGCATAATAAGAAAAAGCCTGTGTGTGGTCACCAGGCGAGCTGGTCTGAGCCGTAGTTCCACTGCTGCACTGCATGCCCCTGTGAGCCTAGGAGCTTTCCACTGCACAGTTCACATGTTAGTAATCATTCATAGACTACTTTCAGAGATCAAATGAAACACATGTGTAGACTCCATAAACTGTGAAGTGCTATATATATACAAAAACTTTCATGCACATGAGGTCACCTAGGTTAGGTCCCTATAACTCAGAGCACTGGCAGAACCACCTGTTTTTGTTGTTCATTCAAATATTGACTGCAGAAGCTACCTGCTTTTGAGTAACCTAATACCAATATTGATTAGGTATCAGATGCTTGCAGGGTTCTAGAGGAAAACACATGGCTGTTGATCTTGAGTAGCTCATAGTCTTCTAAGGACAACAGGTCTGTAAACAGATATCATATCTGACCCACCCAAACACAGACAGGCGCTATATTTGTATGCGGAGGGAGATGGGCAGTAGGATTCCAATGCAGTCTCATCGAAGCTACAACGGCAATGTGCATGAGATGGAGGCGACCCTGGAAAGTTGGAGTAAGTGTCACGGGGTTCAAACTACCTTGGTGACAAGTTGTGAGACAAGGCCCCAGATATAACAGCATTCTGAAATAAAAGAAACTGTGCAAATGTGATCCTGGAGTTTCAAATTACAAATCTAAATGATTTAAGGACCACCAAGATAATTTGTACAAAAAATAGGGGTGATCGTTAAATGATACTCATCATAGTTTTACATATTGATTAAGACCATTTTAAAGCAGGTGGCAATCAAGTGTTTTGGAGGAAGGTAGACCCCTCTTTTTTTTTTAACCTAATGAAAACTTAACATCAGTGATTTTATATGGGCTCACTTAATTCTGCCCAAACTCAGCTGCTCACAGAGTGGATGGTGCCTAATGTGAGTTTTCCTTCTCTTTTTTGCAGTGACCCTTTTTGGGGGAGAGTGAAAGATGGTCGTGTTCTCATTCAGGAAGACAGTCCTATAACACCATCCTGGGCAAATAGGGCCCATATCAACTAGCTTATATGAAAAGCAAGCCAAGAAACCTCCGCCTTCTCGAATCTTCTGGTCGGTTTTGTTTTTATATTGCTTTCTCATTCTTTTTTCAAAAAAGACTTACTCACAGGATAACATGCTCCTTTTAAAAGCTGATTGAAATGGTGGCACTTGGAGAGAGTCCGCATAGGCCAAAGGCTCCTCCTCCTCAGCCACTCCTTTAGGTCAAAGTGTTTTAATGTTAGATGACAGCTCAAAGCCAGGCCTTCCCTGAAGTTTTCTGGATGATAAAACATCTCCTGGACTTCCTGGAAAGGAAGTGATGTCATACTGAAGTCATGCTGCTACCAGGAAAGGGGATTCTCAGGTTTGGGCATCCCTGGAGGACAAAGCTTTCTCCGTCTCAAGGTCGCACAATCAGACCATCTCTTTCTCCCAGCTTTGTTTCTCTTTTTCTTTTCTGGCACCACAAAGCCTCAGTGTGTTGGACGCCTGGCAAATGTATTTTATTCCTCGTGGCTCTGTGCCAGTCCCCAGGTGGAGGCAGCTGTAAGTGACTCACCGTCTGGGACTAGTTCGTGCAGATTCTAGGCTTGTTTCTCAGGGCACTGCCCTGGCTTTGCCTTAAGCTACTCTGCTCTTATTGTTATGCCTGACAAGTCACAGGCATTTCGAAAATAAGTGCGGAATTGACTGAATTATTTTGTTTACGTGAATTTCTGTGTATCTTGCCTGAGGTCTCTAGACAACCAATGAGATTAAATAGATGCATAGATAGAGATATTCATTATAAGGGATTGGCTTGCACAACTGTGGGGGCGGGAAAATCCAAATCCATAGGGAGGCAGACAGTTTGGAAGTTCAGGCAGTTGATGCTGTGGTCTTAGGTCCAAATTTCTTCCTTTCTGGGAAACTTTAGTTTTTATTTTAGAAATCTTTAATTCAATAAGGAAAATCCACATTATCTGGGTAATCTTTATTCTTAAGGTTAACTGATTATAGATATTAGAAATCTACAAAGTACCTTCAGACCTAGATTAGTATTTAATGAAATGACAGGGTACTATAACCTAGCCAAGCCAACAACGTTATAAATCTGACCATCCTGTGTCATTATGTTCATAGAAGCAGTCACCATG